TAGTGAATAACTGTTATCATGACTAATCACGACTGTCACAATTGTAAAGGTAGAAGTTTTGTAACAAAAAAAAGGGGAGTGGTTAATCTTACAGTTCAAAAACAGAGGACCCTAGGACCATCAAGAGAGGAACACACAAATAGAATGTGGGACCTTATTCAGAGAAGCAGCAGCCCCAGAGATGGAGTCAGAGATGGGGGCATGGAGAGGGGGAGCGGCTGAGGACTCTAGATTCATCAACTAAGAAGTGAAGGACTAAGAACTGGTGGCCAGGAGCAGACTTGCAGACTGTGCCTTTGGAGATGTAATTTATTATATATGCCTGAGTGGGAGAAAAAAAACAAAACTAGATGACTTCCAAGACCCAAAGAAAATAAATCATGGAAAGATTTCCATACATGAGAAAAGGATACTATACAAGTAGGTTTAAGTAACAAAATGGAAATATCCGAGTAGGAACAGTACATGAAATGTGGTATACTACTATACAGAAGGTAAAAGAAATGAACTAACAGTACAAGTGTTGACATAAATTGAAACCACATCCAAAATCATGAGTAAACAATCAAGGTTGTAGAATGATCCATGTAACATGATACATTATATAAAGTAAAAATCACAAAGCTAATACAGTATGTATATATGTTGAAAATCTACCTAATGATCCAAAAGTGTACCCACAAAATACATGATAGTAGTTTTCTCTGGGGAGGAAAATTAAAGGGGGAGGAAGGAAAAGAATAAGGAATGAAGATTTTGACTCTGAAGTTTTCTTTCTGAAGCTAATATGACAAGCATTTTCAAAATCACTATGGCATAGGTTATTTTAGTATTATTTCAGAATTTTAAAAATGTAATTTTAAAAAAAATGTAATTAAAGAAGAAAAACAAACTCCAAATAAAATAAATAAATAAATAAAAAAGAGTGTTTTGAGGATGAAATGAAAACAATGTTTGGTTAGGTTGTTTTAAGATCTGTGTTCTTGTTGTTGTCATTGAGTATGCCATGAAATACACACTCAATAAATGTCAGATAGGATTATTATATGTTGATGCTGACAGAGACATGCAGTGAAGCCTGGGAGAACCACAACTGCCTTGGTTTTCCAGGTCTGCAGTTTGAGCACTTTTCTATCACTCTTTTCAGTGGAAGTCATTAGAGTTTTCCTTCTTTTTAAAGTTACTGCCTTACACAGGTACCAACTGTTAGAGGTTTCATGATATATACTTTTTTTTTTTTTTTTGTCTTTCTCTATAAAGCTGACAGTGTCCCATGCTATTCATAAGGTTTTCAGTGACTAAGTATTTGCCACTGCTCTGTCTCTCCTTCTTCCCAGTCTGTCTTAGTCTAAGACAATCAGCTGAAACCTGTCCACCAGGGGTGAACCTGCTGGTATATAAAATACCTGTGGCATAGCTTCCAGAATCATAGTATATGCAAGCCATCACAGTATGACAAACTGACAGATGAGTGTGGTATGTATATTTTTACCACTAAATGGAGAAAAGACTAAAGTTGTCAAACTTCATTTTGCTAGGATCAACCATCAACATTCATGGAAGCCACCAACAGGAAATCAAATGATGTGCTGCATTAAGCTAATCTGCTGCACAAGAATTCTTTCAAGTGTTCAAGAACAAAGATGTCAGTTTGAGGACTCAGGTGCACTGATCCCAGCCATGGTATTTTCAAAAGCCTCATATACGTGGGAAAGTTGGACCATAGAAGAATTGATGCATTTGAGTTACGGTGTTGGAGGAGAATATTAAAAGTACCATGGACTCCCAGAAGAACAAACAAATCTATGTTGCAAGAAGTACAGACAAAATGCTCCTTAGAAGCCAAGATAGCCAGACTTCATCTCTCATACTTCAGACATATTATAAGGAGGGACTAGTCACTGGAGAAGGACATCATGCTTGGTAAAATGGAGGGTCACCAAAAAAAGAGGACTACGAGATGGACAGGCACAGTGACAGCAGCAACGGGTTCAAGTGTAGCAACGATTGTGAGATTGGTGCAGGACCAGGCAGTATGGCATTCTGTTGTAAACAGGTTCGCTAACAGTCGGTACCAACTCAACAGCACTTACCAACAACTATAAAGCTAATTAGAGTCATATTTTTTAAGTAATTCTGCATATTTTACAGGCTAAGGAAAAGATGAGGAAATCAAACCTTCAGGCCTATAGCCCACCAGAACCTAAAAACAATGTCACTTAGTTTGGAACATTTAAAATTAGAATTTAGCAGTCAGATGGCTGAACTCTGGGCAGCAGAATGACCAGAGCAAATGACTAAATATAGGACTTTAACGTAGGCTTTTATAAAAATAATAGGGAAAGACTAAATGATTCTAAATGTCCCTTCCAGCTTTAACATTGAATTATCTGAATATCCTCTAATCTAGATGTTGTTGCTGTTAAGTGCCGTCGAGTCGATTCCGACCCATATCAACCCTGTAATAGGGTTTCCAAGGAGCAGCTGGTGAGCTTGAACCACCGACCTTGCAGTTCAAATGACTCTGTAGTCTGACACATTAGCCCACACTGCCACACCAGGACTCCCTAATCTAGATGTTCTGGTTAATTTATTACCAGCAAATATCCGTAAGTACATACACCAGCACATACATCAAAGTAAGGAAATAAAAGCAAAAGTGTTACTTGAAATCCCATGACTTTTTTTACTTGAAAACCATCAAACTCATCTGCAAAATCAGCACTGTCCCAAGTGTTTATTCAAGAAGGAAACAAACTCTGAGGTGCATTGATGAGCCTGTCCCTGGACCCTCACCCAGGTCTACAGGAAATCAGACACTCACCCCTCCTCATTTTCTTTCAGTAACCGGCTGGCGATTCGGATCAGCATGCAGTAAGCAAACTGCGACTTGAGTCCCGATTTGGTAAACTTATTCAACATCTTAGAAACCGCAAGACGGTCATTCCTTCTAAGGTGATACAGGACCCCCAGTGCATGATACTAAAGAACAGGAGAAAGAAGGAAACACAGAAAGCTTATCAGAAACTGGACAAAACATGTGAAAAATAAAACTGTATGGAGCTAGAAAAAAAGATACCAAAGCCCAGGATGGGGCATTGTTTCGTTCTGCTGTGCATGGGGTCGCCATGAGTCGGTTCCGACTCGATGGCACCTGACAACAACAAGTCAAATGTATGCAAATAAAGTACCTTTTTCATACTGAACTATGTTCATGGAAGACCGACGTGTAAAGATGGGATCCATTTATTATTTACCACCAGAAGGTGCAATTTCAGTCTGGGCCAAAATTAAAGATGTAGCAGAGCCCTAAGACAGCTCCAATAAGCTCAACATTGCCCTACCCATGCTCAATACAAAGGATCTCAGGCCTCAGATTTTACCAGGGATAAGCTCTCCTGGTGGTACTATGGGTTAGGCATTGGGCTGCTAACCTCAAGGTTGGTGGTTCAAATCCACCAGCATCTCTTAGGGAGAAAGACAAGGCTGTCTGCTCCCCAAAAGATTTACAGTCTAAGAAACCAAAATCAGTCTCACTATGAGTTGGAGTCAACTTGATGGCAGTAGGTTTGATTTTTATGATCTCTTTTGTTGTTGTTGTTATTGTTAAGTGCCCTTATTGTTAAAGTGCCTTCAAATTGGTTCTGACTCATAGTGACCCTGTATAGGATCTCCAAGGAGCGACTGGTGGGTTGAACCACAGACCTTGTGATTCAGACCCATCTTGTGGTCAGTGCTTATTCTACAGTGCCTCGTCAAAGCTCCTTAGTGCTTGTAAATCCCGGCTTTAAAACACCGGAGGCCACGAGAGTAGGTAAAGGACTACATTATGTAAAGTAGCAGGCTTTCCCGGTGTCACTACCACAGGGCTCTGTGTAAAACCACAAGGATCCAAGTCAGGAGGTCAGAGTATCTTCCCAAAGCTGAATCATTTTGTTTTTGAATTTTCATTATTACTGCAAAAAATTCCATCTTTTTTTGTCGGTTTGGAAGCATTATATAGAAACTTACAGAGATGTGGGCATCAGCAAATTATGCATTGCAACGTTGTACGTAGTACATGTTACTTACAATTGTTGTTGTTGTTAAGTACCATGGAGACGGTTCCGACTCATAGCAACCCTGTACAGGGTTTCCGAGGCTATAAATCTTTACAGGAGCAGAAAGCCTCATCTTTCTCACATGGAACAGCTGGTAGTTTCAAACTGCTGACCTTGAGATTTGCAGCCCGATTCGTAACCACTACGCTACCAGAGCTCCTTAATACTTACGATAAGATGTACTAAAACTCAAGTATGTCATAACTGTAACTCAAGTATGTCATAAATTGGAGACTACTTGTTCTTTATTTCCATATAACTGAATATGCTAATGTGAAAAGTTGTAAACACTGAAAGAGGATAAACAAACATGTTCTCTAAAACACATGGGGAACTTTCCCTAAGGTGGTTGTTGTGAGGTGCTGAAAAGTCAGTTCAGACTCATAGCAATCTTTTGCACAATAGAATGAAACAATGCCACGTCCTGTGCCATCCTCACAATTGTTGCTAGGCTTGAGCCCACTGCTATTGCCACTGTACCAATCTATCTCATTGGGGGTCTTCTTTTCGGTTGACCCGCCAATCTACCAAGTATGATGTCCTTCTCCAGGGACTGGTCCCTCCTGATGATATGTCTGAAGTATAAGAGATGAAGTCTGGCCATCCGGGCTTCTAAGGAGCTTTCTGGCTGTACTTCTTCCCACACAGATTGGTTTGTTCTGCTGGCAGTCCACAGTACTTCTAATATTTTTCTCCAACACTGTAACTTAAATGCAGCAATTTTTCTTATTCATTAGTCAACTTTCACATGCATATGAGGCTTGGGTCAGGTGCACCTTAGTTTTCAAACTGACATCTTTGCTCTTGAACACTTTCAAGAGGTCTCTTTTGCAGCAGATTTGCATAATGCACTAAATCCTGTGATTTCTTGACTGCTGCTTCCATGAGTGTTGATTATGGTGCCAACAAGATGAAGTCTTATACAACTTCAGTCTTTTCTCCATTTATAATAAGATTATTTACTGGTTCAGTGGTGAGGATTTTTGTTTTCTTTACACTGAGGTGCTGTGGGTCTTGGATCTCCATACTGAAAACTGTGCGTCTTGGATCTTCATCGGTGTGTTAAGTCCTCTTCACATTCAGCAAACGAGGTTGTATTATCTGCATATCACAGACTCTAAAGGAGTCTTATTCCAATTCTGGTGCCATGTTCGTCTTCATATAACCCAGCTACTCAGACTATTTGCTCAGCATACAGATTGAATAAGTATGGTGAAAGAATACAACCCTGCTGCACAGGTTTCTTGATTTTAAACCACTCAGGATTCCCGTGTTCTTTTCAAATGACTGCCTCTTGGGTCTATCTATATACAGGTTCCTCGTGAGCACAATGAAGTGTTCTGGAATAGACATTCTCCACAATGTTGTCCATAGCTTGTCATGACCCACACATAGTCAATAAAGCAGAAGTAAGGATTTTGCTGATACTCTCAGCTTTTAGCCGAGATCCATGAGATATCAGAAATGATAGTCCTTGTTCACATCTTCATCTGAAACCGGCTTGACCCTCTGGCAGTTTCCGGTCAATGTACTGCTGTCACCATTTTTGAATAACCGTTAGCAAAATTTCACTTGCACGTGATATTAATGATACTGTTCCATGGTTTCTACATTCTGTTGGGTCACCTCTTTTTGGAATGGCATAAATATGGATCTCTTCTAATCCATTGGCCAGGTAGATGTCTTCCAAACTTCTTGGCATAGATAAGTGAGTGCCTCCAGTGCCATATTAGTTCAATGGGAGATTTCTATTTGTAGTCCATCAATTCCTGGAGCCTTGTTCTTTGCCAATGACTTCAATGCACCCTGGACTTCTTTCAGTATCACTGGCTCTTGATCATGTTACCTCTTAAAATGGTTGAACATTGTCCATTTCTTTTTGGTACAGTGACTCTGCGTATTCCTTCCATCTTCTTTGGATGCTTTTCTAAATCATTCAGTATTCTGCCCATAGACGCCTACAAAATTGCAAGTCAAGACTTGAATTTTTGCTTCAGTTCTTCCAGATTAAAAAATGCCAAGAGTGTTCTTTCCTTTTGGTTTTCTTACTTCAGTTCTTTGCACATTTCATTATATTTGACTTTGTTTCTCGCACTGCCCTCTGAAATTTTCTATTCAGCTCTTTGAACGTCGTCATTTCTTCCATTTGCTTTAACATCTCTATGCTGGAGAGCACATTTCAGAGTCTCTTGTGGCATCCATTTTGGTCTTGTCCTTCTGTTTTGTCTTCTTAATGACCTTTTACTTTCTTCCTGGTCTTCAGTCATTAGTGTCTACTGTATCAAATCTGTTCTTCAGATGATCTCTAAATTTGGGTGGGATGTGTTCAAGATCATATTTTGGCTCTCATGGACTTGTTTTAATCTTCTTCAGCTTCAGCCTGAACTTACAAATAAACAATTGATGGTCTGATTCACAGCCTGCCCCTACCTTTGTTTTGGCTTATGATATGGAGCTTGTCCATCACCTCTTTCCAAAGATGTAATCATTTTGATTTCTGTATATTCCATCTGGTGAGATCCATGTGTATAGTCATTTCTGATATTGTTTAAAAATGATATTTGCAATAAACAAGTCATTGGTCTTGCAAAATTCTATCAGGTGATCTCCAGCATCATTTCTATCACCACGGCCATATTTTCCAACTACTGATCCTTTTTGTTTCTAACCTTTGCATTCCAATCGGCAATAATTATCAATCCAGCTTGATTGCAAGTTTGATCAATTTTAGACTTGAGAAGTTGGTAGAATTCTTCAATTTCATCACTGACTTTAGTTATTTGACTAATAATGGTATTAACTGGTCTTCCTTGTAGGCGTATGGATATTATCCTATTATAGATAACATTACAATTCAAGATAGACCTTGAAATATTCTTTTTGATAATGAATGCGATGTCATTCCTCTTCCATTTTTCACTCTTGGCATAGTAAACTATGTGACTGTAAGATTCAAAATGGCCAATACCAGTCCATTTCAGCTCACTCATGCCTAGGATATCTACCTTTATGTGTTCCACTTCATTTTTGACAACTTTCAATTTTCCTAGATTCATACTTTGTATATTCCATGTCCTGATTATTAATGGATGTTTTCAGCTGTTTCTCATTTTGAATTGTGCCCCATCAGCAAATAAAGGTACCTAAAGCTTTAATCTATTTGAGTAATCATGATCAACTCTAATTTGAGGAAGCAGCTCATTCCCAGTCACATTTTGCCGTCCTTCCAACTTGAGGGTCTCATTTTCTGGCATTATCTCTGACAGTATTTTGGTGCTGTCTGACAGTGTTCCACTGTTTCAATATTCAATATTCTGGTGCTGTCTGACAGTGTTCCACTGTTACTCACTAGGCTTTCAGTGGCTCAACATTCAGAAGTAGTCTGTCTCTCCTTATTCCCAGTATGTCTTAGTCTGAAAGCTCAGCTAGAACCTGTCCACCATGGGTGACCCTGCTGGTATTTAAAATACCGGTGGCATAGCTTCCAGAATCACAGCAACATACAAGCCACCACAGAGCGACCAACTGACAGACAAGTGGTCGTCTGTAAGCTTACCAGTTCAGAACTAAATCTTGTTTCTTTTACTAAGGATATGACTATGAATACGAAGAGATCTTTCTGAAAATTGTTCTTTATGATATTTACAATGTTGCTAATCAAGGCCTGAGAAGCTTGCAGTCAAACAACTCTTTACACAAATTATTTTTCAAATAAAAGATCTTTGGAATGAGCATTTCAACCTACCACTGAACAGACAGACCCTTCCTGAACACTCTTACAGGAGGTCATCTAGCTTTGGGACTATGGCAGCAATTGTAATTAGTGGATACCCACTTGAGCACATGCACACAATGCTTACCATGGCAAAGCACTGCTCATCTATGGAATCACTAAACTGCTCTTAGAATACAGGCTTACAGACAGCTGATGCTGGGACAGAAGGTGACAGTACCTGGACCATGATATTATCACTCGAAGCAGCTTCTTGGGCTTCATTGATCCAGCGCTTAACCACATCATAGCTTATCTTCATCATGTGCTAAATACAGAAAGAAAAACAAAACAAACATTGAGAATAGACAATTCTGGTCACTAGAAATCTAGAAATATGAGTTGATTTTCATTTCTAACTTCTAAAAGAAGTTAACAACTTTGTGGCTTTCCAGTCTAATTAGCCTGAAATACTTACTTCAAGATCCCTTTGCAAAGGTGAGTATATGTTTGTGGGCTTGTGAGGGGAATATGAAGAAATAAAGAGAGGGCAAAGAACAAGATGGGAATGGGCAGTCAACAGAGCTGTGGCATAATGACTGTGAATGCCACAGGTTTCAGTTCCAGGGAGCTCACGGGGAAGAAAGAAACAGAGTACCAGTATGTTCCCTGCTGTACACCTCTACCAATTGGACTTCAGAACGAGAACTTTTATGATTCAAATGTTCTAGTGCATTCATTACTGCTACTTTCATAACCAATTTGAATCAAATGCAATGTAAAGGTTTAAGGGATTAAGTTTTATTTGATGAAAGAAAAAGAAAGGGTATTATTAAAACATTCCTGGGAAGAAATCAAAAGGCAAGACACTTTGGACTGAAAGGCACATCCAGGACAGGAAGTACAAGTGCCACCTTCACTTTCTTCCCTAGACTCACCCACCCTCTCTATCCAGTCTACAATATAACTTGATGATTCTCACTAAGCATTTGAAACATGAAAAGTCCATGCTTTTAGCTGCCCATATCAATGGCTTAAGGCTCCTCTGGATAAAATATCAGACATGCATATGGATTTTGTGTTTTCGTTGTGAGAGAACCAGAGTGGCACTCAGTTTGAGCAACCAGAATCTGCACCATGCACAAGCCAGACAGTCCTTGCTGAACTCACCAAGGATGACACCAGGGCTGAGCTGGAGACACTGGAGACTTTATCCACAATGGCCTGCTTCATGTATCTTTCAATGGCCTGCAACATTGTTCCCTAATAACATTCATAAAGAAAGAGGTGCTGAAGCAAAACATTTCCAGGCAAAATTTCTTTAAGATCATTTACTAATCAAATATTTGCTTCCGTGAAAATACTTAGAATGCATACAAAGGATTATCACTCAATGGAGAAATAACACCCCAGAGAGCAGAAAAAAAGAGCACAGAGTAGAAATTTCAACTGGAAATATTCCAGACTATATGTGTAAGGAAGAAACTTAACTATTCAACAATGAAATAAACATGTGGGGAAGCCTAGATTGCAGGCGAAAAGAGGGGCCTTCAATACGTTCGTGAAAAAATGCCAGCATCTTTTAATTTAGTTTCCCATGAACTTTTTGAAGCTCCCTGAACCTGAACTTTTTGAAGCTGAAGCTGAACCTATCAGGGGATACTATAAAAGAAATTCCTACATGGGTTTGAACTTTCTTTTGATGTGAAGGACGTATGTTTTTACATGGCTCTCAAAGGGCCCTATAATCCAAATGTAATCCCTGATGATCTTAGTTACATGATAAATTAAATGTATAATACTAAAATGGACCACAACATGAATTCTGAGAGGAATAAAAAGTCATTTTTCACTTTAAATGGGGAAAATCATAGCACTGGGAAGGCAGTGGCAGATAAAGATGGGTAAACTGACCAAAATCAACAGCCAGAAGAAGACTTTTCCTGCTTGCACTGGCTTGATCAAGTTGTATGCTACCGCTTTGATGCTAAAAACCACCACACCACCAGGAGAATGGGAAAAAATACGAAACCACTTCTAATCCTCCTTCTGGTTTGGCGTTGTAGAATTAGCACTAGACTGTGAACCACAAGGTCGGCAGTTCAAACCTACCAGTCGCTCCTTGGAAACCCTGTACAGGGTCACTATGAGTTGCACTCAACTCGACAGCACTCCACAACAACTCTTTCTAGGATTCAGATTTTATCACAATGTTTCTATTTCATTAAACTCTGCTCACCCCTTAAAACTTAAGAAAATAGAAAAACTATATGAGAGGGTTTCAAAAAGTTTGTGGAAAATGGAATGAAAAGACCATGGAATTTTTCCACAAACTTCTTGAACCCCTTGTTCATAAACCATACCCAAGCATGAATATAGCCAATGTACTTAATTTGTGGGACTGTGCCCAACCTGTCCTTCCATGGGAACTTTTCCCACTCAGAGTCTCTAGAAAGGGACCAACTACCACACGTGGCCTCCTCTCTCCTGATTCCACAGGCTGGGCTGAGGTTGATCAGCTGACTTGGATCTGGCTGGTGGGTGGCTAGCCTGAGGGCCTGAGTCTGGTCAGAGCTGGATCTGACAGTCACCATCTCAGAAACCTAGTAGTGGGCGCTCCACAGAGCTGCCTGACAACCTGCTCTCCTATCTACTGGTAAGCTTCCACTCAAATTCTGAGATCTGCGTCCTATGGGAAAGCTTTTTTCAAAAAAATAAAAAACCTAGATGTGGATGTTTTTTATTTCCTGCAAGCAAAGTGCCCTGACTATGACAACAACCCATGAGAGCTAATATCGAGAAAAGAGACAAAAAGAAATGAGCAAAACGGAATTAAAAAAACGCCTGCAGTCACAATGCCTTCCAGGTTGTAAAGGCAGACTACAGTAGCCACCAAACCATGTTAACCCAGTCTTGCCCTTTAACGCCTGAGAGACAGAAAACTCACATCAGTGATTCTGCAGAGAGCCCTGATGGCCGGGCCACGGTACACATCTTCCTTCCCCGTCATGTCCTTAGTGAGACTAAGAAAAAGAAAGTCAGCTAATAATGACATCATTTTAAATCCTCTTCCCTGCAGAGCCCACCCTTAGCCAATTTCTAATCATTGCCACAATTATCAGAATGCTGTCAGTGATTCAACAAATAGTTAGTGAACATCTGATATGAGGCACTGTTCTCAATGAACAAGAATACAACAGAGAATTAAAAAAAACTCCCCCCGCCTTCATGGAGTTTACATTCTAGTAAGAAAAGGCAGAGAATGATTATATATATTTTATACATACACACACGTGTCATTATTGATACCAATTTACAACTCACAGCAACCACGTATGAGTGAGTAAAACTGTCTCATAAGGTATTTCAGGCTATGACGCTGTGGGTTACACAATGAGCTACAAACCAACTGCAAGGTTGGCAGTTCAAACCCACAAGCTGTTTCACAGAAGAGAGATAAGGCTATCTAGTCCCATAAAGATTTACAGCCTCGGAAACCCTAAGGAGCAGTCTGCTCTGCTCTACAGGGCGCTATAAGTCAGAATCGACTGGCTGGCAGTGGATAATCTAACAGAAGAACTTTGGTGGTACAGTGGTTCAAAGTGCTCAGATGCTAATTGAAAAGTCAGCAGTTGAAATCGCCAGCTGCTCCATGGGAAAAACATGAGGCCGTCTGCTCCTGTCAAGATTTACAGTCTTGGAAACCTATGGCACCATTCTACTCTATCCTACAGGACCACTATGAATCGGAACCTCCTAAGCGGCAGATGGTTTGGTTTGGGCTAAATCTTTACAGGACCAGACCTCCAAGGCTTTTCCCCCATGGAACCAGTGGGTGGGTCTGATTCACTGACCCTCAGTCTAGCACCAGAGTACTGCATCACCATGTCATTTTAGACACTGATTACCGGCGTGACAAAATAAAATAAGGATAATATAATATACAATCTCCCTCCTCCTCCAAAAAAAGAAAGAAAATCCTAAAACCCAATCTGACCAGATCTTTTCTTTCTTTTTAACTTTTTATCGTGAATTGAGTGAAAGTTTACAGACAAGACTATCAGTTTTACATTCAACAAATCATAACTTTGCTTCATCTCAATGATTACAATCCTCTCCATGAGACAAGAGTTGTCCCACTTCCTTCCTGTGGTTACCCATGTACAAATATCCTCTTTCAAATTCATATATATTTGTGGGATATATGGTAGCATAGTGGTTACGAATCGGGCTGCGAGCTGCAAGGTCAGCAGTTCGAAACTACCAGCGGTTCCGCAGGAGAAAGATGAGGCGGTCTGCTCCCGTAAAGATTTACAGCCTCGGAAACCCTGTGTAGGGTCGCTATGAGTCGGAAGCGACTCCACGGCACACAACAACAACAATGTAAATATATATTTATATATATCGGT